CACACAGACACACACAGACACACACACAGGCACACACAGACACACACACACAGACACACACAGACACACACAGACACACACACGCGCGCACTTGGCGGCGCGCAGAGGGGGATAGGGTGAGGGGGATAGGCTTCTTGGAAGGAGGCTGTTTTCTGGAAGGCGCCAGTCTTACACCTACAGACAAGGCCCCCAGGGCCCCCAAACCAGGGCACTGCTGACCAGCGCTTCTGAACATTCCACCCAGAGAGAACGAAGAGTGGGAATGCTTCGGCCTACGGCTGCACTTATCTTGGGCGCGCCAGTGTCCAGGCTTCTCAGCCAGTCCCCCCGTTCAGGGGGCCCTGGCCTTCCCCCCGAAGCCCCAGGCCGGACGAAAGGGGTGCCTAGCAAAAGGGGGGGTCGCGGATCAGCTTAGGACCAAGGGTCCTGCTTGTCTTCCCCTCCCCCCCCCCTCCCTTCCCCAATCACCTCCCTCCATCCCTCCCTCCCTCGCCCTCCCTCCCTCCCTCCCCCCCAGCCTCCCTCCCTCCCTCCTTCTGTCCACCTCCCTCTTTCCCCCTCCCTCTGGCCCTCCATCCCCCCCTCCCTCCCCCTCCGCCTTCCCCCCTCCTCTAGGGGCAGTGCGACCAAAGGGGCTTCCCGGCGCCTCCCCGCGCCACAAGTGCCACGGTATCGAGGAACGCGCCCAGCCGCAGGGCCGCAACCGGCTGCATGCAGCACCTTTCGTACCCCCCACGTTTCCCTATCCCTAGCGATTCAACGCATGAGAAAAAATCCAGGCGGAGGTTTTTTTCGCAATCTTCGGCCTCTGGGGGCCCCCGCAGGGCCCTGCAGGACCGTCAACAGAAAGACTCCTGCTGAAAAACTGGTCCATGGGGCATGGGCCGAGACGTCCGAGGACCCCGCATTGAAGAAATCACGACGTCGGATCTCTGGGTCCCCCCCCCGGTCCGTCCGACCCGACCAACACCTCTCTCCGCAAAGGACGTCCCCGTGGCGCGCGGGCGGCAGCTGGCGCCGTCGGCCATCGCAGGTGGAGCGTCGCGGTCCCGTGGTCTTTTTGGGCCGTGCGGGGGCGCTCCCGGGGAGTCTTGGGCGCCTTTTGGTAGGCGGCGCGCCCGGGGGAGCAGCGAGACTGCGCGGGCCTCCTCGGGAGGCTCGGAAGTTCACCGGCCTTCTGAAAACAAAAATTAAGCCTTCCCCGAAGACACAGGACAATTCTCAAAAGGCGCGAGGGCTTCCGAGAAGCCCCGCCGCCTTCTGAGAAGGCCTTCTCCTTCTCACTTCCTCCCCTCGCTCGCTGCCTTGGAGCACTCACAGACTCCGCTTGTAGGGGCCTCCCAGATGGGGCCCGAGTAGATGTGGTCGGGGGATCGCGGCACATCAACGAAACATCGGCGATGCATCGTCGATGCATCGGCGACGTCGGCGATGTGGCAGCGACGTCGGCAAGGAGAAAATCGGGCTCCGCACCGGGCCGCATGGTCGATGCATCGGCGGTGCGGCGCGATCCTCCGACCCCATCTGCTCGCCTTCCTCCTCCTCCTCCTCTTCTGCTTCCTCCTCCTCCTCCTCCTCCACTTCCTCCTCCTCCTCCACTTCCTCCTCCTCCTCCTCCTCCTCCTCCTCCTCCTCCTCCACTTCCTCCCCCTCCTCGTCGTCTTCCTCCTCCTCCTCCTCCTCCTCCTCCTCCTCCTCCTCCTCCTCCTCCAGCCTGGGGCCTGCGCCCGCGCGTGCGCCGGCGCCCCGAAGAAGCCGGCTCCGCCCGCTCTCGGGGCCGCCGCCGCCCCGGAACGGGCCCGGGGGCCGCCCCTGCGTCGGTGGGGGCCTGTCCCCCCTACAGGCGGGTTATGCTTTGGACGCCCTCCGCGGGGGACGATGAGGAGGCAAAGATGAGGAGGCAAAGATGAGGAGGCAAAGATGAGGAGGGAGGAAGGAGGTGAAGTCCTCCAGGCGTGGTTCCTCCTCCTCCTCCTCCTCCTCCTCCTCCTCCTCCTCCTCCTCCTCCTCCTCTGGTCTCCGCGGAGGACGATGGGGTGAATGCTCGCGCCTGCCAGCGGCGGGTAGCGCCCACTGCCCCCGAGCGAGGCCCAGCTCTCATTCCCTTTCCTCCGCCTCCCCCCTCCTCCTTGTCTTTCAGACCGCCTGCCTCCACCCCCGCCCCGCCAACTACGCTGTTTATTTGGACGCCCGAAATGGGTACGGAAATTTTGGGTACAATGCCCAACAACAAATGCTGTCCCAAACCGACAGGGGTCACTGTTGGGCAGGCGGCTTGTTCTCTTCAAAGAACAACGTCCGCGGCGGCGCGAACAGCGAGTCCGGTGTAAAATGAACAGGAACTGCTGTTGGGCATCGTACCTACTCTTTCTGTACCCATGACGATCGTCCTGATTTTTGACGAGGAAAAAATAATCAAAACATGCCCCAGCATAGCCAACAAATACTCAAAACATCGTCCCCAGACTATTGTTTGACTATTTTTGCACATTCCTCCTGAAGAGGGACAGGCCCGACTTAGGCCCCTGATTGTGTTGAACGGGGACCGACAATCCTGGATGTAGGCCTACCACGACATGTTCTTTGAATCCCAGAGTGTTCTCATAAGAAAAACAATGTTCTCAGAACATGAGCCCGATGTTTCAGAACAAGACAGCCCCGGCCAGAAATGTTCTAAGAGCATTTCGTGCAGACCACAAGAGGTTCTTAGAACATTCTTTGGTGGGCCTATAGGAGAGTTGGGACGCTTCGCCGCTGCTTGAAGAACGTGTCCGGGGGCCGCCCCTGCTTGAGCCCGCTTCTCCGCCACGCCGCCGGCTGGGTGTCCTCCTCATCTCGGCGGCTCGGAGATAGGGGGCCCACGAATGGCGCGCGCGCGCCCAACAGTGTACAGCTCACTCGCATCATAAGGACGCACGATGAGGATGCAAGGGCCTTGGGAGGCCATGTCGACACTTTGCGAGCGGGGTGTGATTAGCCAAAGCGGCCAACGATGGACCGAGGAGGCAAGGATGCGAGGGTACCCTTGGGAAGGGTGCCCAGCTGACTGATGGGGGGTGTCTACGCACGGCGTTGGCTGAAGCCAGCAAATCTGTACACGGCCCGCCGCGACATACCAGAAAGAAGGAAGAGCGCGCTCCTGGGACCGGCGCGCCCACCTGGGCGACAGCGCCGCTCTTTTCTCGGCCGAGGCTGTGCCTGCTGCCCTGCCTGCCTTCTGTTTTTCCCCCCGTGGATGCCCTCCTCCCCTTCCTACTCCTCCTCCCCTTCCTCCTCCTCCTCCTCCACCTCCTCCTCCTCCTCCTCCTCCGCCGCCTACTCCTCCTCCTCCTCCTCCTCCTCCGCCTTCTCCTTCTCAACCTCCTCCTCCTCCTCCTCCTCCACGTCCTCCTCCACATTCTCCTCCTCCACATTCTCCTCCTCCGATCCCCTCCTCCTCCTCTCTCCTCTCCTCCTCCTCCTCCTCCTCCTCCTCCTCCTCCTCCTCATCATCATCCTCCTCTTCCCTCCTCCTCCTCCTCCTCCTCCTCCACCTCCTTCTTCTCCTCCTCCTCCTCCTCCTCCTCCTCCTCCTCCTCCTCCTCCTCCTCCTCCTCCTCCTCCTCCTCCTCCTCCTCCTCCTCCTCCTCCTCCTCTCCTCCTCCTCCTCCTCCTCCTCCTCCTCCTCCTCCTCCTCCTCCTCCCCCTCTTGGGGGCCCCCTCGCCACCGTCGGGCGAGGAGGCGAGATGCGGCCGCGGCTCTCCTGCCTGCTGCCCTGCCTGCCTCCCCCGCTTCCCCCCTCTGTCCCGTGCCGACACCGCCGCTGTTCCCCCTTTGCGCTCGGCCTCGGCGAGGCTAAGATCGGTCAGCACCGAATCGGCAAGTCGCATCGAATCGAAATCTGCATCGGATCGGGCTGCATCGGCACGGAATCGAAAACGCACCGGATCGGCTGCGCCGAAATGCACCACATCGCCATGCAAGCATCGGGCCGCATCAATTCGTCGGAATATCGGAATCGATTCGGATTGGGCTGACCGAACTCGATATCGAATCGGACCGTTCGGATCGAAATATACCCTGCCAGGCATAGCAGCTCCCGACATTCTGACGCTACTTCTACGTGCAGCTGAGATCGTAACTGGACTCAACCCATCTCCTCGGAAGGAAGATCCATCCAGATCCCAGCGTAGAGGATGGGGCACCCTCGTCCAGCGCTCAAAGTCGTTCTCCAGCAACTGCTCTTCCCACGATCGTTCTCAACCTCCATTACTGCCCCCCCCCACTGCGAGAATTGATTTCCGGTTCCTCTCCACTAATTTCGGCGACCATACCGTGCGCCGCTTCCGCCCACCGCTTCCACGAACTCTCCTCCCCCTCCTCTTCCTTCAATGCCGCGCTGGATTTCGAAGCCCACGAATTCTCCTCCTCTCCTCTTCCTGAAATGCCATGCTTGTTTCCGAAGCCCACGAATTCTCCTCCTCCTCCTCCCTCTCCTCCTCTTTCTTCAATGACATGCTAGATTTCGGAGCCCACGAATGCTCCTCCTCCTCATCCTTCGGTGACATGCTACATTTCGAAGCCATCCCATTCGCCAACGGGCGGAGCCCTTTCTGCTTTGAGACCACGGCGGCCCGACTTGACATATGCAGGCTCAACCTAGGTGGAAGTGCGGTGAAACGGTGGCGGACGCGTGGGCTCCCAAAGTGGTGGTGGAGGGGGCCATTGTCATCGACGCTCTGCAACCAAGGGGCCCAGGGACACACCGATTAACACAAATCCCAGGATTCCCAATACTTTTTTGTATTTTTCGGATTGTTCGTCTTCCCCCCCACTTCCCATAGTTTCGCATACTGTCCTAGGACTCGACGATGAATTGGGCCTGTGTGTCCCCTCCTGACTCAAGCAGAGCACCCCCATCAGTACACCCCATCAGTACAACGCAAGCTCGTCGTCTCTTCCCAACAACTACTTCGAAGCATGCCCCTTCGCAGGAAAAGGGGAGCGCGGGCACTGGAACCCTGGCAGGTGGTGAGGCCGTGGTCATCATGCTGGGTGATATTAAACCTGCGCCAGGGCGTGTGGCAGCAATGGAGGATACTGCAAGTGTGAAGAAACAAGGCGTCGTCGACGCACTTGATACTCCGAAACCCATCTTGAGTATATCTGGGACGGTCAGTTTACTGACTGGAAAGTCTCAACTCCTTCCTTTCCAACTGCGTGACGACGACGGCAAGCCTCCATAACCACTTGTCGACCGTATGATCATACAAAGAAAGGACATCTGGTTCTTCAATTCCCAAATGCTCAAACATAATTGCCTCGCGAGCCGCCACTTCCACGCTACATTGGTGCTGAAACCCGAAGCTGCAAACTGGAAGATACCATCTCCTAAACATCTGCAATAATCCAATACCCTGGTCTGCCTACCCGCGTATCCACACTCCTCTCACCATGCGCAAAGGTATCAGACATATGCACTCGGTCATGCTGCGCCCGTCCTGGGTGGACCTGGTGTGTCTAATGCATTGTGCGCCAGGGGGGAACTAACGGAAATAGTGAATTCCAATAACACCTCATGTGGTCATGTGAGAACTATGTATATCTAGCAGCTGCGCACGGGACCTCACATGACATCACTGGACGAGTTGAGTGTCATTTAGGCATTGGGCCTGATGGGCTTCAGAAGAAGCATGGTGTGCACTGTCATGTTAAGCAGGGGACTTCGCGGAAACCCATGGGGCGCGCTGTTCCTGTATGTGTACTCCAGATTTCGTAATAAAAGGGAGGGGGTCACAACCCTCCTAGACCAGGAGTTTTAGACCCGCCCAGACCATCCATGAAAGGGCGGCACTTTGCCCAGACCCCCCAGAACCCTTCAAGACAGCTCAAATCAGACCCCCCCGCCAAATGTGACCCCCCCTACTTTATGATGGAATCCGGAGTACCCATCCGCCACCGTGCCGCGGGACACGGAGTGGGCGTGTCCTCAGGCCCCATGCCCAATCCCCTAAGTCTCCATCCTCACTCCTGAGGAGTCTCCGGGGGGCCTGGCGCCTCCTGAGGAGTCCCCTCCTCCTCCTCCTCCTCCTCCTCCTCCTCCTCCTCCTCCTCCTCCTCCTCCTCTTCACTCCTGGGGGCCTGGAGCCCAAGCTGCCAAACCTTCCGGGCCCCCGCGCGGCTCCCGTGGGGCTTGCCGCGGCTACCCGCTTGCCTTTTTCGGGCCCCCCCCCCTCGCTTTCCCCCCCGGGCGCGCCGCCGAGGAGTCTCCAGCGGCCCTCGCTTCTCGGGACGAAACCGAGGAGGAGGAGGAGGAGGAGGAGGAGGAGGAGGATAACATCGGGTGAGGATGAATCGGGGATCTCTGAGATCCGGCGGCTCTAGAGGACGTCTCGGGCGCCGCGGCCTTCTCAGAGAGTGGTCTGCAGTGCTCTGAGAGCGTCCCCGAGCGCTTTCATCCTTGACCTAGGCCCGTCCGACGTCGACCGAACTCTGCCCCATGACACCACGGTTTCTAAGGGGGGTGGTGGAGTAGGGTTCGCATGTGGCCTCCTAGGCTGGAGACGCGATGACCCTCTCAGGGGCTTTCTCCCTTCCTGGGCATGCGATGTCCTGACTTTTTCCGTGCGGGCTCCCCAGGAGCCCGACACTCCGTTTCCGAGTGCCGCTGAGGGCCCCAGGAGGCCGAACACGGCCAACAGCATCCCGAGATGGGGGCGATGTAGGGAGGGGCGAAAAATGGGGGGCGTGTGAGAGAGAGAGAGAGAGAGAGAACAAACAAACAAAAATGCACGCCTTTTCTGCACCCCAGGTGCCCGGAAGGGGCCCAAAGGGGGCACGAAAGGTGCAGACCTTGTTCGCCCACCCGCTGTTTATCGCCCCCTCCATCTCGAAGCGCCCAGGAGAGGTTCGCAGTTCGAAGTTCCAGGTTCGAAATTCCAGGCTCGAGACTCGAGGCTCACCCCATCAACGAGCGCCCACCTTTCCCTTTTCCTCCCCCCGTGCTGGGCGCGCGGCAGCTCGTGAAGCCCCGCCCTCGCCTGATGGGAGCGGCTGCGGCACGGCGGCGGTGAAGCTCGCGCTGCCTGGCGTCATGTCCTTAGCGAGCTGTCGCCCGAGTCCCCCCCCCCCGGTCGGCTCGCCGCCAGGGAGGCACTGCGGCACTCCACGGCTGTCGTGCGACCCTGCGCGGCGCAGTGGCCGTCCAGGCTGGCCCCTCGTTAGAACGATTACGGGCTATGGAGCCAGATCAACAAAGCCATTCAGCCGGATCAAGACAGACGAATCGAAGGCAAAAAATCCACCCCCAGAATAACCACCCCGACACGCAAAGCCGGTTACTAAACGCCCCCACTGAAGGAATCGAACAAGGCAGGGCTGTTTACTAAACGCCCAAATCCGTTTAGTAAACGCCAATTGTCCGGTCCGGGTGCTTTTTTCTCCCTTGAATGAAGCCGGAGTCTAAGCCGAATTAAGCGGGACTCAACCGGATTAGGTCGGTTTTCGACCATGGATGCACCAACGCCCATGCTGAATGCGCTGGCGCGCGCGCCGGCCTTGCCATCAAGCTGCGGTCTGGGCAAGCGCAGGCGCAGGCGAAGACAGACGACGAGACGTGCGGGCGCAGTTAGATCGAAACTCCTCCCAATCTCGGGGGCGTCCGAGAGGCGAGAGGGGGGCGTCCACGAGGGGGGTTCGCAACTCGTGGCCCGAGTTACGTGCGCGGACGAGGGTGGGCCAGGGAGTGCATTGAAAGAGGAGCCACGAAGTCCTCAATCCAGACCTGGGTCAGTCAGGCCTTACAGAATCCTGCAAGAGCCTGCAAGATCCTGCACCCAAGCCAGGGTCAATGCGAAGGATCATGTAGGATCCTGCACCCAAGCCCAGGTCAGTGCGCTCCTGCCCCTGCAGGATCCTGCAAGATCGGGCGCTCTGGCTGACCCCCGTTTGCATTGCCCCCCGTCTCTTGAGCCCCGAAAAAAAAGAGCCATGAAGTCCGGGGAGACCCCATGGCCCCAACACCTCCTCAATTCCTCAATAGGGTTAGGTCGGGCGTGTCCCCCTACAGGCGGATTTTGGACGAAAAAGGGTCAATAGTCAAACACTAGCAACAGCATATTCGAACAAAAATCAAAGATGCTAAAACAAATCGTCCCCAGACGATGTTTCGACTATTTCTGAATATGGGACAGGCCCGACACGATAACAGGGGAGGGAGCCTGGCACCCCCCAGGCGGGCCGCCTCTGCCCGCCCCCCGTCGGAAGACCCACCTCGACCTCTTCGCCGGACCCCCCCCCCGCTCTCCAAGGCAGCCCCAAGCCATGCCCCCCCCCCAAATCAGCCCCCGGGCTCCCCCCACACACTACCTCAGGGACTTCCCCCCCCCCCGGCGTCCTCCACACTGCCTTACGGAATTCCCCCCCCGCCCCTCCACACAACATCACGGAACTCTCCCCCCCCCCCCCGTCCTCCATCTCCCCCCCTCTCTCGGACGCCCCCCCGCCGGATCCCGGCTCCGCGCCGTGCGATCCTGCGGCCGCTCCAACGCGGGCGGCGGGCCAGGGCCTCCCTGGGAGGCGAACGGGCGCAGTCTCAATCGTGGCCCCCTTTGGTCGCGGGGGGACTTGCCGTCGCTCCGACGCCCGTTCCCCGTGCATTCTTCGCTTTCGTGCGTATGCCTGTTTTTCGGGGGGGGGGGGGGGGGCGATGACGCGCAGGACGCTCCTCGATTGTCCTCGCCGAAGAAAACACGCGCACATCCGAGCGATGCCAAGGAGAGGGGAGGAGAGAAGAGCGCGACCCCTGTCGCCAGCGCTCGGGTGGTCTGTCGCCCACCACCCAGGCGCTGAGAGAGCAACCTTCCGAGGGATACGACCCGAGGCGCTGTGTGGCGCGCTCGGGGCTGCTGGCCGACACGCACGGCTCGGGTGGACACCGGACCAAGAGTTGGTCTGCTGCCCGGGGCTTCGGATTCGAAAGGGGGAGGGGATCGTGAAGGCGAGGTGGGGTAGTGGGAGGGGAGGCGGAGTGAAGGGGTGGGCAGGGAGAGGCGGAGGCGGATGGAGAGGGGACGGGAGCTAAGGCAGCCGCCCTGGAGTATGACTGCGCCGCCCGTCCATCGGGCGAGACGGACCTGATCACCTTCCGCAGGGGAAGTATCGGTGGCGCGGGGGGGCGGGGACACTAGTTGGACAGTGTATTCGAACCCTGTCACGGTGAGGGAATTATGATCCTTCCCCGCCGCCGACGTCAATGTTGATTTCAGCACGGATGATAATTTTGAGGTTCGAGTATTTCTGTCCACTCACGCCCCCTGCATTGCCGCACCCTCAAACTTCATTTGGGGGATCTGGGGGGCATCTTGCGCCGCAGGGTTCGAACTGGTTGTCCATGTACGGGAGGGCGCGGAATGATGGGGCCCAGGGAGGCACACATGAATCGGCACAACTTTTAAGGTTCCCACTCTGTTTCAATGTCTTATCGGTTTTTTGTTTTCCCCTCCGTGTCCAACATTCTCCAATGTTTTCATGAATATCGACATGCCTTTGTGTGTGTGTGTGTGTGTCTAGTTCTCCATCCCGGAGGAGTCCTCGGAGAAGGCTGGGAGGGGCGCGGCCTCAGAGGTGCCGATCCCGCTGCACCATGGACCTCTCCTGGGGCGCGTTCTGACCCGGATGTCGACGCGGATCCGGCCGTAGCAACGAGGGGTGTGTAACGGCATCGGTGTTCCCCCCCTCCCGCCCCCTGGAGGCCAGGGCAAAACTCGTTGTCCTCCTCCTCCGCCTCCTCCTCCTCTTCCTCCTTCTTCTCCTCCTACTCCTCCTCCTCCCTTTCCTCTTCGTCTCCTCCCTCCTCCTCCTCCTCCTCCTCCTCCTCCTCCTCCTCCTCCTCCTCCTCCTCCTCCTCCTCCTCCTCCTCCTCCCCCCTCCTCCCTCCGTCTCCTCCTCCTCCGTCTCCTCCTCCTCCTCCTTTCTTTTTCCTCCTCCTCCTCCTCTTCCTCCTCCCTCTCCCTATCCCTCTCTCTCTCCCTCTTCCTTTCCTCCTTCTCCTCCTTTTCCTTTTCCTCCTCCTCGTTCAATGCCTTCAATGCCTTCAATGCAACAAGAAAGGATCACAGCGCCTCAGGAAGTTCATGTTCATGCACCAGTGCGCGAAGAAGCCCAAACATGTTTCCCACGACACTGGCACTACATCGGAAACCCATCCCTCCCTCCGTCCTCCTTCCTCCCTCCCTGTCCTCCCCCCCCCCTTCCACCTTCCTGCCTCCTCCGTGCTCCCTCCCCTCTCCTCCCAGCTCCCTCCGCCTCCCTCCTCCCGCCCGCCCTTGCCCCCCCCCTCCTCCCTCCTGCCATGCGACGCTTTGGCCTCTGAAGCCATCGGCGGCCTCTTCGAGGCCTGCTCGCCCCTCGGTCTCCCGGTGCTCACGGTCCCCGGCTAGGGAGGAGCGAGAGCTGTGAGACTCAGAGAGGTCGGCCTCACCTCATTGCCTCCCTGCCCACCTTCTACTTGCCTCGCTCCTCCCTGTCTCCTCCCTCCTGACACCTCCTGCCTCTTCCTCCTCCCCCTCCTCCTCCTCCTCCTCCTCCTCCTCCTCCTCCTCCTCCTCCTCCTCCTCCTCCCCTCCCTCCGCCTCCCTCCTCATCGTCGTCCAGGGTTACTTTGCCCGCTCCATGCCCACCCCCCGCCACCCAAGATCGCCCAATTAGCCTTCGGGGCCTGTCGCTTGCTCTCGGCTGACCAAATGTTAGCGGAACCCAGATCGCGACTAAAGGAAGAGGAAGAGGATGAGAACGAGGAGGAGGAGGAGCATGAGGAGGAGGGAACAGCAGGCTTTCCCCTGGCTCGACGATGGGCGCCTGTGTCAATTGGTAAGTGTGTCGTTTTGGCCTGAAGCGCAACGGTACCGCCTCCGGATGATGAGACGTCGTATGTATCATTCACTCGAGGAATCGAAGACCGTAGATCTACCAAAAGCAGTAGCGCAAGCAAACCCAACTTGGTTACCCCCAGCTAGACGTGCGTGTTTGTTTACCTTCTCGCCCTGGAATGCCTGCGTCACTTGGGCGTCGGTCTGCCGGATGCCACGGACGAGCTCCAACTTGCTCTGTGCCTTAGGCCGGCATCCTCCCTATCCCCCACTCCCAACTCTCCTTTCCCCCCTCCCTCCCCGCTCATCCATCGTCGATCCTCTCGTCTTCATCCTTCCCCCCTCCTCCTTCATCCCTCTTCCACCCTCCTGTCTCTCCTCCTCTACCCTCCCGTCTGGTGAGCCTCCTGAAAGATGTTCTGGGTGCCTGTTGGGCCGTCATGAGGAGCTTCCAAAGAGGATCTTGGGATCATGTGTGTTGCCCATCGAAGGTTTTTCCCCATGCAGGGAAAAGTATTCCAGGAATTCCTTACATTCCTATCTTTATTATCTCACACCATGAAGCCCATAGGGATGGCCAACACCTCCCTAATAGAATCTGGCGGTCCCAAAGGCCCCTGGGCTCTCTCTGGCCCGTCTGGCCCGCCATGTGGGCCTCCCAGACCTCGCGTTCGGCCTCCAGGACCACCTCGCTGGCTTCAGGGAGCTCCTGGGACATGTCCAAGATGACTTCGAGACGGCCCAAACGCCCTGGAGACGGCCCCAGAGGCTCCGAACGAACCCCCCACGAAAGCAACAATCCTCACATCCCTTTGGGGAAACGTATATTTTCAGCATGTTGGTTTTGAGAGCGTTTAAGCCGACCCAAACACATCCAAGATCGTCCTAGACGGCCCAAGAGGCCCCCAAGGGAGCCCCAAAACGGGCCAAAAAGGCTGCAAGACAGCTTCTGAGAGCCCCATTATGGCCCAAGAAAAGCCCCTGAGGCGCCCAAGACAGCCCCCACAAGGCCACAGGCGACCCTCCCAAAGGTCCACGAGGGCCCCAAGAGATTCCCATGACGGCTAGATTTCCCAAAATTGCCCGAGAGCGCCCGAAGACGGCCCCAAAATCCCCGGACTCCCCCATGTCACCCTCCCAACCACCTGTCCCTCCCCCACGACAGGATTCCGAGCCCCCCACCTTCCCCCAAATTCCACCCAGACGCACCTACCGCCTCGGTATGGCACTCAAGCCCCCACCTTCCCCAAAGACTCGCGGAAAGTCTAAAGCTGTCAAAGGCCCCCACCTTGCCTTCGCCCTCTCTTTCAGATGCCCCCGTGACCTTTCCAGCACCCCATGCTCGACAGCATCCGACCCCTCCCTTATTCCAAAGACCTTCTGGAAGCCCGACCGCGACCGCCGCGGTGGTCAAGACGCCGGCCAAGATGTCCAAGAGTTCTTTGTTATATACATATATATATATATATATATATATATATATATGTATAAACACCATAAGAAACAAAAAGCATAATACATCCCCAGTTGAAAGGTTCAGGCTGGAGTTAGGAGCACTCGGGGGCACCCAACGGCCTCTGGGAGTCCCAGGGGGCTCTCGGCGGCACGGCCGCGTCAGCAAACGCCACTCGAGGCGAAGAGCGCATAGTGAGCCGCGGCCTGACGATGTCGGACGGACCGTCTGACCGGGCAGCAGAAAGGGCACGGCCAGCATGTCCAATAGGTGAGATGCGCGCCGCGCCGGGCCCACGCACCGAGCCGCGCAGCTGTTTGTGCCGAGGCGGTGACGGTCCCTCCCGCCTCGGATTCTGGACCGCGCGGCGTCGGGGGCGGCCATCCGCCGCGTCGACTTCTTCAAGCAGGCTCGGGGGCGCTCCGTCGTCGCTCCGACTCTGCAGAGCATCGCGCCGGGATCGCACGTTCACGACCGAGAAAACATCATCAGCACCACTTCGCGGCTTCCCCGCCCGTGCCCCCCCGCCGACGAGAGGACCGCGGCGTGATCGTTGCGCGGCCACCGGGGCCGAATCGGATCTCCCGCGGACGATTCTGCCAGAGACGCGCGCCCGCCTCACTTCCGTTCCCCCTCCCGTCCTTTCATCGCCCATGACCTGCCCGACCGCCCTGGCCGGCCGAGTCGTTCGCGCGTGTCCTGACCGCTCCCCCCCCCCCGCGCGCGCGCTGACTCTGCAGAGGCATTGGGCCATCATCACCGTCGAGCCGCTTTTCGTCTTGTAGCCCATCTCCGACGCATGCCTCGTCCTTTCCCTGCCCTCGGCGTTGCAGGCCCCGCTTCATCTCATCGCCGACCGCCATCGAATGCCACCCCCCTTCCCAACCTGCGGCGCGCGCGGAATTGAAGACGGCCCGCGCCTCTTCGCCCGTGACCTCCCCAAAACCCCTGCCCTGCCCGTCGCCGACGCTTCAGCCCGCAACATCGCGCGTCACTCGCACGCTGCACGCGAATGCGCCATGCCAAGACCTCCACACGAAGCGCAACGAGCCTCAAGTCTTGTGCAAATCTATACGTCTGCATCTCATGTACAGATGATGCTCATATGTATATACAGATGCGTTGGCACCTCGCGCCACGCACCCTGGTCTTCGAAGGTTGAAATGCAGGCGGGGAGGCAAGAAGGCAAAACTTAATTTTCAACGATCGTGTGTGGTTGCCGTTGTTTTATGTCCGACTTCGTCGTTGCAGAATGTTGTTGTTTCTCGCTATTCTGTCCTCATGTTTCCTGTTCCTCTTCATCATTGTCGCCAAACCATACAATTTCCCCCCATCCCCTCAGCCCTTTTTGCGGAGGCTCCTCCTTGGAGAACATCCCCCGCGAAAATTTTTAGGGGCTTCTTGGGGCCTTCTGGAAGCCTTTGCGGCGCCTTCTGGGAGCCTTTGGGGGCGTTCGGGGTCTTTCTCGGGCCGCCCTGCTTCCGTTCGCGGTCTCCCTGGACGACCTGGTCACGATTTGGAATGGTTCGGGGGGAGTCTTGGGGCCATCTTAGGCCGTCGTGGGACTCTTTTCGGGCCATCTTGGGGCCCCGTTGGGCCGTTTTGGGGCTCTCTGCTGCCTGGCAACCCTTGCTTCTCATGTTACGTAGATTTTCGGGCCTCCTGGGCTGTCTCAAACGCCCAGAAGATAGAATAACGGCGCTCTCCCCAAATCATACAAACAAACACCAGAAGGACATCTATGTTGTTGCGGTGCGGAAGCCTTTGGGAGTCTTCAGGTCGTCTTCGGCCGTCTGGTGGTTGACTGGGGCCTCTTGGGGCTCTCGCGGGGCCGTTGGTCCGCCCTCCTGACCGAAATGGGCCCGCTGCCTAGGCACAATAGGGGCTTCCACGAACCCCGGAACACCTGGGGGAACTTCTGCAGGGGCGTCCTGGGGGCATGGCCTCAACGTGGGCCCCATCATCCACGCCTACTATTCAGGAAACACGTCTGGGGAATGTTGAGGGCCTGGCCCGAAAGCCTCAACATGGCCTCACTCACCATGGGCCCTAACACCCACGCCTGCTATGATGGGAGACACGTCGGGGGGATGTTGAGGCCTTGACCTGAGGGCTTCAACGTGGCCTCACCATGGGCCCCACATCATCCAAGCCTCCTATGCAGGAAACTCGTCGGGGGGATGAGGGCCTCAACATGGGCTTAATGTGGGCCCCAGCGCCCGCGCCTGATATGTTGGAAAGATATCGGGGTGATGTTGAAGTCCTGGCCTGAAGGCCTCAGCATGGCCTAAACATGGGCCCCATCATCCACGCCTGCTATGCGGGAGACGCGTCGGGGGAATGTTGAGGCCCTGACCTGAAAGCCTCAGCATGACCTCAACATGGGCCTCAACATCCAAGCCTGCTGCGCGCGAAACACGTCGGTGTTGTGATGAGGCCCGGGCCTCAGGACCTCAACACGGGCCTCGCAATCAAGCCGGCGTTGCTGGACTCACGTCTGGTGGACGCCGAGGACTTGACCTGACAGCCCCAGCATCGCCTCAGCATCAGCCTCATGATCCAAGCCTGCGTTGAAGAATTCACCTCGGGGGGTGTTGAGGCGTGGGCCTGAGGGCCTTCACGCGGCCTCACTATGGCTTCGTCATCTGCGATATCTCCATGCCTGTAATGCGGGAGCCACGTCGGGAGGATGCTGAGGCCCTGACCTGAAGGCCTCAACGTAGCCTCAACATGGCAGGGGCATGCACGATAACCTAAGCTTGCCATGAGGGACCCACTTTTGGGGGATGTTGAAACCCTGACCTGAAGGCCTCAACGTGGCCTCAACATGGTAGAAGCATGCGCGGGAACCCAAGCTTGCCAAGAGGGAATCACTTCTGGGAGATGTTGAAACCTTGGCCCGAGGGCTTCCACTTGGGCAGTGAAGTTCAAAACTGGAATTGGAAGCTGGCTGTAGTCCTCCCCTCCTCCTCCCCTCCTCCTCCTCCTCCTCTTCCTCCCCCTCCCACTCCTCCCCGTCCCACTCCTCCTCCACCTCCTCCTCCCTTCCCTCTCCCTCCTCCTCCTCCTCCTCCTCTCCTCCTCCTGCTCCTCCTGATCCTACCTCCTCCTCCTCCTCCTCCTCCTCCTCCTCATCCTCCTCCCTCCTCCTCCTCCTCCTCCTCCTCCTCTCCTCCTCCTCCTCCTCCTCCTCCTCCTCCTCCTCCTCCTCCTCCTCTCCTCCTCCTCCTCCTCCTCCTCCTCCTCCTCCTCCTCCTCCTCCTCCTTCCTCCCCTCTCTCGCCCTTGTCCTTCCAGGCAGAGATCCGTCCGCGCGGCTGCTGCTCGCGAGCGGCGTCGACGCCCCCCGCCCCGGAGGGGGCCCGGGCGCGGGCGGAGAGCCCCAGGGGGCGTTCTCCAGGGCGGCCACGAGAGCTGGCCCCGCCATGATTGAAGGGACCCTGGGACACACAAATAAATACACACAAATCAAAAGATTTCCCATAGTTTCCCATAGTTTCGAGGTTTCTGTCTCCCCCCACACTTCCCATATTTTCCTACATTTTCCAGGGAATCGGCGATTCAGTGTCTGTGTGTTATTTTCCCTCCTGAATGATGCCCTCCCATCCGTCCCGTGCCTCCTCATGCTGTCCCCTTCCGTCGCTCCGAGCGTGCACCCATCTAAGCGATTACACCCGAGAGAACCCCAATCAGTGGATGGTTTTCGCTGAGGAGATCGAGAGAGATATATGGAGAAAAAGAGAGAGAGAGAGAGAGAGAGAGAGAGAGAGAGAGAGAGAGAGAGAGAGAGGGAGAGCAGACGGCAGAAAAAAAAACACATCCTCGCATAAAACCATCCCGACGCGCGAAGCCCTTCAGTGAACGCACCCGAGGAGAGGAGATCGAGCAGGGCAGGACTGTTTGGCCAACGCCCGTGACTGGTGTGCAAACGCCAGCGCAAGGGGGCCGGGGGGCTCACTTTCCTCCGTGAGGCACAGGTGCAGCGCGAGCGGGGGGACGGGGGGTGGGAGGGGGTCGCGGCCCCTCCCATTCGTCCCCCCGTGCCTCCTCGTGCTGTCCCCTTCCGTCGCTCGGGGGGGGCCAGAGGGGGGTGTCAAGAGGGGGGGGGGGGGCAAATCATGGCGGGCGGCATGTGCGCGGCCCAAGGGGGGGAGGCCAGGGACGCATTGAAATAAGCAGAGGCGCCATGAAATCGGGGGAGATATCATGGCCCCCGCAATGATATCCCCCCCCTGGTCATCGCCCCCCTCTTGGCCGCCCCCGAGTCGCTCCGAACGTGTACCCATCTGGGCGATGAGTAACCCGTCCTTCTCGACGGCCGTTGGGGCGCGCCAGGTGCCGCGGGGTCTCGGAGCGACCGCAGCAGCCGCTCGTGTCGGGAGAGAGGGTGCATCGCACGGTGTGGAAGATGTTCTGCGTGGAATGGGCAGGCAGGGCCTCAAGCTGTTCAGAGGAGACCTGGTAAAGATTTGGTCGGGCGTGTCCCCCTGCAGGCAGGCGGATTTTGGGCGAAAGATTGAACATACTCAAAACATGCACCAGCATGGTCAAAGAGTAATCAAACCATGGTCCCCAGAGTATTTCTTGTTGGACTATTTGGGAACATTCCTCCCGCAGAGGGACACGCCCGACTCCAAGGCAGGGCTCCAAGCTGTTCAGAAGAGTCCTGGCGAGGTTCCAGGGGCCCCGACCGCCGAGCCCGGTGCTGAGATCTGGCAAGCGCCGCGGGGGAAACGCGGGCTTGCTAGTCAAGTCGTCGTCGTCGCCGTCGCCGTCGTCGTCGTCGTCGCCGCCGTCGTTGTCGTCTCTTCGGGGGCAGGCTCGTTCTTTCTAAACCCTCAGCTGCCCCAAGGCGCAACACGCAGCACGCAGCGTATTGAGGCGGAGCTCGACACGCAGACCCACAACGTAGGTCCGACGCGATGCGCTCGCCAGAACGTGGGCCAACACGTTGAGCCAACACGCAACGTATTGACATGGACGTCTTGAGCACGGCACGTGTTGCGTATCAAAACGGGCGTACCGAAATAGCTAAGTTTAAACCCTTTCTTCGGGCTCCCACGTTCGATTTTCCCCCGCTCTACGCGTGAAGCCTGCGGCTGCAAACGAGGAGCGCTCCGGCACTGGAGCCCATGGCATGCATGTGACTAGGGGCGCGCACCTCTCTCTGAACGGACTGCGCCAGCACGTCCAGCTGCTCGTGTGCCGACGAGAGTTCCTCAAGGCGTTCGGTTCCCCTTCTCCCCGCCTTCCTGCTCCACTTTTCCCTCTCCAGCGCCACTCACTGACCCTGCTTGGAACGGAACAGCGTTCCTCCACTGAAGCTAACCCCTATCGCACGGCCGATCCTTCTTCCCCTCGCTGCAAGCTGCAGATCAGAAGATCGTGCGTTCAGAAGACCGGAGCAACATATTCGGTTCAAATGAGTCATCGCACAGGAGCCGGGCATCGTTGCCACTGCAACGCGTGATTGCACGCACTTTGCATGACCAGGTGCACTTCCATGCGTGCATCACTTGAACGACTGTAGCCACCGAGGCTCGAATCTAGGAGTCGCTAGACACGTCCTAGAGCCAAGCGGGAAATAAGCCTGGCGAAGGACTCAACCAAATGCACTTGTGCGCACCGCAATTGCGAATATCTATGGAACCCCCGATGGGGCCACGAACCCTGAGAATGATGTGCCGACATGGGTGCGGGGCACTGGGGCCTTCGGTGGAACTCCCTATAGGGCCACGAAACGTGTGAGGGGTGTGCCGACATGGGTGCGGGGGACGCATGTGGGCGGTGGCACTGGAGCCTTCGGTGGAGCTCCTTGTGGGGTCACGAAGCGCGTGAGGAGTGCGCCGACATGGGTGTGGGGGACGCATGTGGGCGGTGGCACTGTGGCCTTCGGTGGTCCCTATGGGGACACGAAGCGTGTGGTGCAGGGGACGCATGTGGACGATGGCACTGGGGCACTCGGTGGAGCTCCCTATGGGGCCACGAAGCGTGTGAGGGGTGTTCCGACATCAGCGTGGGGGACGCATGTGGGCGGTGGCACTGGGGCCTTCGGTGGAGCTCTCTATGGGGCCACACAACGTGCGATGTGTGTGTGTGTGTGTGTGTGTGTGTGTGTGTGTGTGTGTGTGTGTGTTTGTGTGCCAAAATGGGCGCGGGGGCCGCAAGTGATGGTGGCACGGGGGCCTTCGTTGGAACTCCCTATGGGGCCACGAAGCGTGTGAGGGGTGTGCCGAAATGGGTGCGGGGGGCGCATGCCGACGGTGGCGCTGGAGCCTTCGGTGGAGCTCCCGGTGGGGTCACGAAGCGCGTGAGGAGTGCGCCGACATGGGTGTGGGGGACGCATGTGGGCGGTGGCACTGTGGCCTTCGGTGGAGGTCCCTATGGGGACACGAAGCGTGTGGTGCAGGGGACGCATGTGGACGGTGGCACTGGGGCCTTCGGTGGAGCTCCGTATGGGGCCACGAAGCGTGTGAGGGGTGTGCCGAAATGAGAGCGGGGGGCGCATGCCGACGGTGGCACTGGAGCCTTCGGTGGAGCTCCCGGTGGGGTCACGAAGCGTGTGAAAGGTGTGCCGACATGGGTGTGGGGGGACGCTTGTGGACGGTGGCTCTGTGGCCTTCGGTGGAGCAACCGTATGGGGCCACGAAGCGCGCGATGTGTGTGTGTGTGTGTGTGTGTGTGTGTGTGCCGAAATCGGTGCGGGGGACGCATGTGGACGGTGGCACTGGGCCTTCGGTGGAGCTCCCCATGGGGCCGCGAAGCGTGTGAGGGGTGTGCCGAAATCGGTGTAGGGGGCGCATGCGGACGGTGGCACTGGGGCCTTCGGTGGAGCTCCCTATGGGGCCACGCAACGTGTGAGGGCTGTGCCGACATATGCGTGGGGGACGCATGTGGACGGTGGCACTGGTGCCTTCAGTGAAGCTCCCGATGGGGCCACGAAGCGTTTGAAGGTGTGCCGAAATGAATGTGGGGGACGCATGTGGACGGTAGCACTTGGGGGGGGAGCCCCAAAGTTATGGGGGTGACGGAAGGAGGAAAGGAGGAAAGTAGGAGGAGGAGGAGGAAGAAGAGGAGGAGGCGGCGGCGAAACGGTAACGGGCCAAGTCGAACGACGCCCCGGCAAGACAGGAATCGGAGAAGGATTTCGGATTGTGTGGCCTACCGTGTGCAGTAATCTACCACGACCTGTGGCCTCCACGGTCGGGGCCCCGACTGAATGGTCGCTCAACCAAGGCACAATCACAGCGAGAGCTAATTAGGGCCAGGCCAGAGCCAGGACGGACCAGGGTCAAAAAAACAAACGACCTGGAGGGCCCGCCAGTGGCCATCCTGACAAGTTCTTTGAAACTGCACTGGCGGGGCGGCACAGGAGGATGAGGAGGAGGAGGACGGAGGGGGGCCAGGGCAGCGGCAGCGCGGCGCGGTGCCTCCACCTCGCGCAACCTCTCAGTGCACGTCGTCGATGCTGAAGTTACGGTCGGTGTGTGGAGCAGGGTAGAGCCCTCAACCGCACCCAAGCCGAGGGTGGAGTTCCCAACCACATTCGGACTCGACGCTGACGCCTATGTGTGGAGCAAGGTCGAAACCTCAACCACATCCAGACTTGAAGCCGACGCCGTCGATGTGTGGAGCAGGGTAGAGACCCCAACCACATTCAACGTAGAGGAATGGGCGCCACCAGCGCCTCTAGAAACCACGTCGCCACCAGAAAACTGCTCCCGGAGAGTCCTCAACCACATCCAACATAAAAGAAACGGCGACTCCAGCGCCGCCAGAAGCCGCGTCGCAACCAAAAAACTGCCCCCGCAGAGCCCGCAACCACATTCAACATCAAAGAAACGGGGGCTCCAGCGCCGCCAGAAGCCACGTCGTAACCAACAGCTGCTCCGCGGGCTATCGGCCATTGCGAATTCCCAATCTCTTTCAGCTAATGCCGCTTCCGCTGTGCAGGACGCCGTCGGCTGCCACTGGCAGCGGGTCTGGACGGGCTGCCGCCCCTAATGCGCGGCCCGACTGTCGCCCCGAATGCGCGACCCGAGCGCTGCCCCGATTGTGCAGCCCGACCCCTTCCAGATCCGCCCTCAGTCGTACCGTCCTCAGACCTGTCCACGAAATCGTCGGTCGCCAGCCGCGAGATTCTCTCCGCGTTCGACCTCGGGATGACGCCTGGTTTCGCTTCTCCCCCGAGCTGGACCGCGCAGTCCGCGAAGATGCAGGTCATCCTCACATCCGCCAGGGCGTGCGTCAGCTTCGCGTTGCCTTCTTTGTAGCAAGCGCTGATCCGAACCCCCCTGATGAGCATGCCCATTTCCGACATGTGGGTGATCTTGTCGAGCTTCGATTTCTGCTGTTCCCACAAGCCTTTGTTCCGTTCGCCCACCGTCTCTCCCGCCTTCGTGATCGCATCGGCGACGACTAAAAACCTTTGCGCGCAGGCGGGCTCCATGGCCGCTTCGGGAGTGGTTTGGCATTGTCCTGCTTCCAGGCCTCTCTCATCGCTGCAGCCTTGGTAGCATGTGCTCGGCCCGTCTTGTGCGCCTCCATGGCAACCTCCGACGCTGCGTCCAGAATCGCCGTCTGGAACGCCGCCGACAGGAGCTGCCTGACCATGAACGCGTTGCCCAGCGCCGCCTTCGCAGGCACTGACATCAGCTTTGCGACGATTCCCGGGGACATGGCAAGTAATTTGTCGACCGCGTCCTCGGGTAACCCGCGGGCCTTGCCGACTGCCATCTTGATATCCTCCTCGCCGAGACGAGCAGGGGCAGCCGCTGCTCCGCTTGCGTTGGGCAGCCGTGGCCGCGGTGGTCTGCTGCCCCTCGGCCCAGCGCCGTCGACCCCGGCGTCCTCCGCGACGGCGGGGGGCAGCCGCTGACCCAGAGCGGCCCTGTCGAGATCCTCCTCCACCTCCTCGCCATTGCGAGCGGCCCCTCTCCCCCGCGCCCGCCCGGCCCTCCGCCTGCAGGCGGAACATCGCGAAAGTGGCGCGGGTGTCGCAGGCAACTCCAGACACGGAGATGGGCGCGCAGCAGATCACGACTCGAAAAGGGCTCAGTCTTCGAGCATGCATAGACAACGCCATGCCCCCCCCCCCCCCCCCCGCCTCAAGGCAGCAACAGCTATGGGCGAGAAAGGACAAACGAGCTCCTCCGCCTCTACCACCTTGCGCGCAAACAGAGCGGCTCTTGGCGGGCACCGATTGTGTAGGACTGCGTTCGTCGCGCGTTCCTGCGCGACGCGCCGCGCGCAGAAGCTCTGGCGACAGGAGGCGCGCGCGATTGCCACCGTCACGCCGTGCACAATCGACCGACAGTTGTGACCTCCCGCCGAAGAGAAACGCCGATGCGCGAGCAGAGCCCTACGCGCGGCGAACGCAGCATTGAGCGCCGCACCCGCGGAGTCCGCGAGGTCACGCGCCCAGATGGACGCAGGAGGGTTTGAAACCGCAGCGCCGCCAGGAACACCCGAATCAGCAGGCCCAGCAGGATCGCGCATTCCAGGCGGCGGAGGGATGGCCACTGCGCGAGCGGCAGCACGAATTACCCCAGAATCCAACCGGAGAAAACAATCCCGAAGCCCCTGGTCCATGAACAGCGCGCGGACATTGAAGCGGAACCTCTCGTAGCCCTCGGAGCCCACGTAGAGGTCCTCTAAGAGCCCCTCCTCCTCCTCCTCCTCCTCCTCCTCCTCCTCCTCCTCCTCCGACCCCTTTCGCTACGTCGGCCACGAAACGTCTCGCGAGCATGTTGGCGTCGGCCGCGAGGCAACCTTTGGGGGGATTGTGGGCCCGGGGTCCACGAGGAGCTGACCGAACACCGATCCCACTTCCTGAGCATGGGCGCTGGGAGAGACGAGTCACCTGCAATGCGTCCTAAGCCTCCGAACAGTCAGCTCAAACCCTGTAGGAGCAGCGCCCACGCGCCTGAACGCAGCTTCATCCGATTCGGCCTTGTACTTGAGGGCGGGCTGGCCGTTCTCATGTCTGACTGGGCCCCTGTCCTCATTCGCCGCCTCCGTCTTCTTGCACGCGTCGCCCCTAAGTATTCTACGAGCGAAACCGACCGAGGCCCTTCCCAGAAGACGTTCCTGGGCAGTCGCGAGCGCCAGCACCGTGAGACCAGACAACAGTGCCCCCTGGACAACGGCTCCAAACACGTCCCGGGTGAATCGGCATATTCTTTTTTTGTTTCCAGGGCCTTCCCATAGAGCAATGGC